TTTATCTAGTAACATTTTTATTGACCCTCTCAGAACCCTGTCATGATTATGTCCATTATATGATTACTGATCATTTATATAGCATTAGTCTCCTGATTTAAAAACCTGCAAACAGTTTTTTTTATTTGCAGAATTTCTTGTACAGACCAAGTATGCATACATAATTAGAAATAAATATAGTATTTTTAGTAAAAAATATTACAGAAGGGCTACTTAACTCTACAGAACAAAACAACAGATTATGTTTCATTGACCAATTGATAAATAAATATTACAACTCCACTGACATGACTGAAGCCTTGGATTACATCAGCTGAAGAAGCCCCACCATTTGTTATAGCAGCTGTCAGGGAGCAAGTCTTGGAAATTTCAAAGGAGTGAGAAAATACCAATTTGAAAAAATATATAGGAAAAAATTTATTACTTACAATTCTCAGCAGAAACCCAAATGTTTGGGGGGGGTTTCCTCAATTCTCTGACCTGAAAAATGCAAATACTTTTTAAAAAGAAACTTGGTGGAAATAACTGAAATAGACTCAAGAGAATTGGTTAGAATGGGGAGTATTTGTGGAAGAAAAAGCTTCAGCTTTGTCAATTCAGGCCAGGATTTCCCCAGGAGGTTCTGTGGTGATGGAAAACAATTCTCAAGTGCTTTTGGCACCCAGGATTTGGCACAAGAGCCTCGAAACCACGTAAGGAGATGAACCCCAATTTCCCCAGCAGTGTCACACCTGCTCTGTCCAGCCCTCTGGACACCCAAAGCCCCATTCCCATGGCAGAGCCTTCACTTACTGAATTTGGTATTCTGCAGGCCATTTGTGCATCTCTGTGCCATGAAATTTTAGGAATAAGAAGTCCTGCATGCTGCTGAGGAACCTAAAATAAATCATAGTTATGCCAGGGTCTCATCTAGACAAAATATTGCACCTTGGTTACCTTCTCTCAGATGTATTTAAAACAGTTTTGGGGGAGTATTGATTTTTTTTTTTTCTCCCTATAAATTGTGTTTCCCATTGGCTCCAATGTAATGGGCCATGGATTTCCAGCAGGGACACCAGGGCTCCTTCTCCACCCTCTCAGACAATTCAGAGAGATACCCTAAAATAAATCATAGTTGTGCCAGGGAAACTCATCTTGACAAAATATTGGACCTTGGTTACCTTCTCTCAGATGTCTTTAAAACAGTTTTGGGGGAGTACTGTTTTGTTTTTTTTTTTTCTCACTATAAATTGTGTTTCCCATTGGTTCCAGTACAATGGGCCATGGGTTTCCATGTCCAGCAGGGACACCAGGGCTCCTGTTTGCTGGCTTCTTTCTCCACCCTCTCAGACAATTCAGAGATGCCTCAGCAGCAGAGATGAGCTGCTCCCCTGCACAGAGAATTATTAGCTCTCCCTGGAAATGAGGATTCTGGAAAAGCTTTCCCAGAAATTCACTATTTCAAGGAAAACAACCTGGTCCCAGCACCCAGTGGAAATGGGACCAGGTCCCTCACAAACCATCCCAAAAACCATCCTGGCCTCACTCACAGCCTGTGGTTCCAGGGGACAAATGCTGAAAAATCAGGAAAAAAACCATGAAAACATTGGTTGATACTCTGAGCAATATGGAAATCTTTGTTCCTTCAAAGTGTATTCTTCAAGGAACACTCATCTTCAGCCTGAACTGGAAATAAAACATTAAGCAAAATTATTTGTGGTAACCGGATGCCACTTAGAGCTAGTCTGCTCTGGTTTGACAAAATCTGAATACTCCATTTCCTACTTTGACATTTTATGCCATTGTCTACTATTAAATAGCTGCAACATAAAATGGCTTCATTTCCTTCTGAGTCTTTATCATTCTGATAAAGTCAAAATACTCTGTAGGGCACTCTTGCTCTAGAAAGCTTCTGACAAAACACTGCACAGGAATCCAATCCCAACATTTTTGGCCAGCTGTGATAATCACAAACAAGCCTGGACCTGACATTTAACATCCTTAATAGAGGGGGATCTCTCTTGTTAAATGCATCACTAAATTGAATTTACTGAACAATACATCCCACTGACAGCCTCCACATGTGCCAGCACAGCTTTCCAGGGCTCTGCTGCAGATCTGGGTTACCTTTGGCCAACAGCACAGATTTGCAAAATCACAAAGTTTCAGCTGGAGAGGACCCTGGAGAGCATCTTGGCCAACCTTGTGTTGAAAGCAGGGCCTTGTATGAGGTTATCCACGGCCCTGGCAAGCCAAGTTCCTGAATATCTACGGCCAGGAAGATTCCACAGCTTCTCCAGGCAGCTCATCCCAGTGTCCAAGTGGTCCCAAAGTGAAGAAATTGCTCCCAAAATTCAGATAGAAGTACCCTGAAGCAACTGGTACCTCTTCCCCTTGTTCTCTCAGCACTGTCTCCACCTCCTCTCTCCTCTAGGAGCCCTAAAGAAAAGGTTAACAGGTAAATCTAATAAAAGGGGATAAAAAAGAAGACTTGCTCCACAAAATCTGTTGCATTTAAGCTGTTTGTAACATTCAGGACTCGTGGCAACAAAAGCTCAGGGGTACAGACATTTTCACAGACAGTCTTCCCAAGAGCAAACTGTTGGAGGCACTTTATGCCTCATCCCAACAACCTTATTACATTTACTGAGGAAAAATCAATGAATTTTTTCTAATTATTAGATCAAATTATGCAAGTACAGAACTTCCTGATTATGGAATGGAGAGATGACCTTTCAAAAACAGGCGTTGGTTGGATTTTTTTCCCCTTTCTATGGCTGGGGAGATTTTTTATGAATAGCAACTATTTACCTCTTTTTTTTTTTTTTTTCCTCAAGTATGTTTGGCCACTTAAAAATTGCAAATGAAACTAAACATATTAAAGTTCCCAGGACTTGTCTTCTGACAATATTTTACTTTTCCTAAACAGAGATACACTTAAAATTTCCTGCACTACAGAAAAATCTTTAAAACTCATCTCTGGTATTAGCCTTCTCTTGGTTTAACTTATCACTTTGAGACCATTGACCCTTTTACTAAAATGATGCTCTCTAAACCTCAGGGTTCTGTGGTGCTTTCTTCTCAAGGCCTAGACATGAAAATTGCTGCACTGTGCACACACCTTTCCTTATCTTGCCTCCAGAAATGAAACAGTCAATTTATTTGTTTTTAGACAAGTTTGTAACTCACAGCACAGCTGAACTCTTTTGTAAAGGCAAAATGAACTAGATATTGGATGGTATAACATCAACAGAAAAAAGAACAAGCTGTATTCTTATCTGATGCATACAGCCTGTGCTATTGGGTATATTACAGCCAAAAATTGCAGCAAAAATTGTCTGATATATGTCCCTGATACATCACCCCTGCTTCTTGCTAAATTACAGTAAAAAAGTGGAAACCCTCCAAAATAGGCAGCATCAACTTGTTTATGGATTTGAGCTGTAACAAACCTCGCTTCTACATCATTTTCCCATATATTACACAGAGTTGATTCAAATCAATACCTAAAGGAGGGACAAAAACCAAGGAGATGCTGAAGGGAACTGATCACACCCCTCATTATCCACTTCAATGTAAATCCACTTCCTGACAAAATGCATTCTCCATCACTGCTCCCATCAATGGCAACCTTACTTTCAGATGAGAGCAATCCCAGATCCTCAAGCCTTCTCCTCATGAACCATCTAAAGGCAGGATTTCATCTTTGAACAAATTTCAGTGCCAGATTTTAATTTCTGGTGCCTGCTTTCCTCTTGCTACTCCACACACAGAGGATATTCTGCTTTTCCCCCCAAAACTGAGGCTTCTGTGCCCTGCCCTAGAGCCAGGGTTTCCACAGAAGGAAATCATTCAGCAGGCAGAGGAGAAGAAAGTCTTCAAATAGCAGGAAAGAACAAAAACTTAATCCAGGGACTACAGTATAAAATTAGGAAAACAGCATAACAAACTTCAGATAACATTTGTGGAACTGTGGAATACCTCCAAGCTGAAAATCTAACTCTGAGAACTAAAAATGAACATAGAAAAACCAAATCACCTGTTTAAAACAAAATCAGGGCAACAAATAAGTTTACATTAATTAACAGCACCTTTCCACCACATTTCTGCACATTTTCATCTTGTTATTTTAAAAAGGTACCAAAGCATAAGAGATGCACTTAAATCCATTTCAATACAAGCAGAGCAAGATTCAAGATGCTCTGAGAGCCTTTAAAAAAACTCTTGAAACCAGACATGTGTCATTACAACCATTGTGGTTTCTGTCACAGTAGCCACCACTGCTGCTGATTGGAACAGAGGTTGTGGGGAAAGGGAATTATGGTTTCCAGTGAAGTCAGTGGGAATCTTCCAATCAGATAATTCCTAATTGGAAACCACCAGTTTTTAACAGGAATTTTAAAAAGAAGTTTCTTAGGGTTGGCATGGGATTTTCAGTCAGAGCAGAAAGGAAGCAAAGAACATTTTGGTGTCTGGAAGTGGTGAAGGGCACATCCAACATCCCTCTCCAGGACAACCTGCAGCAAAATGTGACCAAAAAGTTCTGCCTCAAGCACAGGCAGTTTTGGGGTGTCTTCCTTCTGCTTCCAAGTTTAAAAAAAAAAAGGAAAAAATACAACAGAAAACTTTTAAACTCTTGCCATGACACCAAACTTCTTCCCTCTTTCCATCTGTTATGATTTTTTAAAAAATCTCCCATGCAAATGGTCCTCCAGCCTCCCCTGAATGAATCAGAAACTTCACTAATTAAAGGATACAGCCTAAATAAAAAGAGAACATACTTTGGGTCTACATTATGAACACTTCAAGCCATTTTCCACCAAAGATGTACATATGTTTACTCAAATAACCCATGCTATTCATGAGTAGACTTTTAAAACACAGAGGCAAAAGCATTATTCCTGAAAGGATTGCTTTGTAATGTAGGATCTATGATAAGGTCCAAAGGAAGCTTTTCTGGACGTGTTCCATCGCTTGATGTTCAGGAAACCATTTTGTATGACACAAAGGATTAGGAAAAATAAGCTGCATGACATTTATTTTGTAATTTTAACATTAATATCTGTAGAAACATTTTATTGTCAGTACAAAAGTTAACAGATTTTAATACTTATTTTACCCAATTAAAAAATTATTAAAAAAAAAAAAAAACCAAAACCGAAACAAACACACCACCACATTAAACAGTGAAATTTGCATTCATATTCCATGGCCATATCAAAGTGAATGTTCTGAAAGTAAAAATGCAAGATCCTGTAAAAAAGATGCAAACAACAGTGATATTCTAGCAGAGGCCAGTGCTACACCTACTGTTATGGAATGGTTCAGAAGGAAATACTGGAGTCAGCATGAATTAATCCCCTAAAAAGATGCTGATATTCCTATGGCAAGCTGTCATTATAAACAACTTCTCTCTTTTTAACTTAAGTTACAATAGAGGGATAAAGGCAAAAGATCCAGGCCAAAAGGTCTGGAACCTATTATGCAACTGAGGCAAGAGAATTGTGGATAATTTGATGCATGTGCAACTCAGGGTAGAAGCTCAGCTCCTTTTAGAGCAGTCTGTTCTGCTGTGGTTATAGATCAATTCATGTCTCTCCTTACTTAAAGAACCTTCTTCAAAATGTCCTTTATTTTCTTTCTTTTTTTTTTTTTTTGGGGAGTGGAACGACTCTGCTTTTTGGACCTTAAAGGAAAAAGACTTTCTTGTTAAAGGATTTGGTTGTGATAAGAATAATCATCTGACACTGCAGTTTTTAAACACAAATAAATCAAAAGTTTAATTTCCCCAAATTAGTTATATACTGTAAATATTTCTTTTCTTAAAGATCTGAAAACTAGTAAAGTCTGAGCAATATATCTACTAGTCCTCTGTGCTGCCTGCATAGAAATGCCATTTAAATTACAAAAACACAACAACCCTATAAACGATTAACTGTTTTGTACATTACCAATTAGTTAATAAATTAATGATATACCATTTTCCCTGAAAGCAAAGTATTTTCCACCTTTGGATGGTGAAAATTAAGAAATTCTGTGTAAGAACAGCATTTAGCAAATAGCTGTTAAAAAAGAGACTAATTTGCTAGGTGGATTGGGACATCCATTTTTTAAATCAATACAAAAAATAATTCATTGTAAATATATATAATATATATTTATACATATTTTTGAATATATTTACATACATCCAGCACCTATATACTGCATTTGTGCTCTGTAAGTGTGTGCCAACATATATTTTCTCCAAATATTACAAAATAAACAAGAAAGGCAGACCCATAGTTTGCCTCAAGTCCGACTGGTCCATTGTACAAACAAAGTCTGTTGCAGCTCACAGGAAGCCAGAAAATTGATAGCAATGGGTATCTAGACACAGCTCATAAACATTCTTCTTTCTTGGGAACATCTGAAAGCTGCAAGTGATGAGAATCTTTATGTAGGTTCCGACCGCTTTCCTCCAAATTTTTTTTTTTTTTTCCTTTTTTCGTCTCTCCCCCTTTTTTTTTTTTTTCCGCATTTCCTATGTACAAGCAGAAAGGTGAAGGTCCTGGAGGAAAGCTTTAGCTTTGCAGACGGCAGGTAGCTTTGATGTTCTCGCCTCTTTGCTCCTCCTTTCATGTTTTCACGCTCCCGTTCATGTGCTGGTACTTGGGCAGACAAGGTTCGTAAGGCATCGGGTCGGGCGAGAACACCGAGTCGTCCCCCGAGGAACACGAGCTCCTCGTGTCGGGGTAGCTGGGGGAATACTGTTCCAGAGGCCCACTGAGGTCCAGGTACTCCTGTGGCAAGAGGAATAAAAGCGGTTTTTAGCCAGCGAAGAGAGCTGACAATAAAATGTCACCACGGCGCGGGTTTTGGGAGGGAGCGGTTTGGGAATGACGCTCGCTCGCAGTGAATCAGCTGCCTTCAAAACTGCCTGGTTGCCTAAATACCTCATAAAACAAGGAGCTCGGCTAGGGGAAGAAAAAACAAGCCAATAACACGGTATTTTCTGAAGTCCAACATCACCAGCATTAGCTGTGTCAGTGGGAATAAACATGGCAACCACATCAAAAGAGGCCTTTTCACTCGCAATGATAAAAACGAAATTTCATCCTAAATAGAACCATTTTTCTTTAGCACATGGTAGTGATTTGGAGAGGGAAAGACGCTTCCAACTTTGTATGCCTTTGGTCACTTTGAATCTCTGTTTTATATTCTGTGATATTAAATTTGTGTTTCAACATGCAGTGGCATACGTGCAAAAAAGATCTGAAGGAAAAACAAAATCAAATTCACACGATTTGGGTTTTTGACACCACATATTTGTGTCTTGTGCGTCCCAGAGTAGCCATGACCAAAGCAGTCATTAAAAAAGGAAATATCATCTGCTGAATCCAAGTTTTGGGTTAAGGCTCTTTTGCTAGAAACAACAGTTTTGGCAAGAGAATAAAGTTATTTTTCCCCTTGAAATGTTCCTTCTCTTTCAACTTCTAAAGGCAGCTGCATTCATTTAAATGCAATCTCTTCATTTGCTAAACCACAAGTCATGATCGTACTGACGAGTCGAGTCTTCCACCTCAGTCAGTATTTTATGCTGCTGTGCTTAGGCTTGGGGTAATTTAGTCCTTTGGCTAACACTCCTTTTTTTAAGTCAGAGATTCAGTCATTACCATCTTCAAGTTTAAAAATGGTCACCATTTTAAAAGGAGGGTGTGGTATGTTTTAAAATGCTGGAAAATTTAATAGGGACCAAAAGGAGGGAGTTTGGATCTATTGATTACTGACTATGTGGCTGCCCAGGCTCTTGAAAAAATCCACAAGGGCAACCCTGTTACATATTTGTGGATTAGAAAATCAGCCCTATGTGAGCAGAAATAATCAGACATTTTCTAAATAGATAGAAGAAGAAAGGATCCCAGTCTTTGAAGAACCAGGGCTTTCCCAGGGGCTATCAGACACGGCTCATCATATCAGAAGACTTGATGTAACACTGATATGAATTCAGTATTGAAGACAGGGTCCTTATCCAGTGCCAATGGCCAGAGTCACACCAAGGGACACAAGAACCAGCACCAGGTTGGTTTCTGGTGCTGACAAAGCACCACAGCCACCAGGCTGACTCCTGGTGACTTCTGCTCATGTGGGTCACCGAAACATGAGAGTCTTTGGGGAAAAAAACCCAGCAAGAAAACACATTAAAAACCCAACGAGCAAAGATTCAACATGGAAAACAATGAGGTGTTACTATTTAAGCAGAAATCATTACTTGCACAAAAGCAGAAGAAATTATTGGCTGTCCCAGCAAAATGAGTTGTTGGGTAAACCAGACTGAGCCAGGGTTATTCTGGGGGGCAAGGGTGAGTGGGGAAAGCAGAAGTGAGCCTGGAGGACCTGCACTTCAGGAAGACCATGAAGTTTACACAGAATCAGAGATCTCCAAAGCTGTGGAGGAAAGTGGGACACGTTGGAGCTCTCCGGAGACACCGAGATGACGACAAGCGCTCGGGAACATGAAACGCGCTGCGAAGACAAGTGGAACGATTTGCTTTCTATGTCCAGGGTAAATAGGACAAAAGCAATATCTGATGTTGAAAGATTAGAGATTAGGAAAACAAAGCAACAGGCTGTCCAGAGGCGATGCCGAAATACAGCAGTGGAGATCTGTGAGGACAAGTTACATAAACATCTGTCAGGAATGACAAACGTATAGTGGGCCCTGCCATAGGCCCATCAGATGGACTGGATGTGTTCCTAAGCTTTTTCCAGACGTTTTTTCCTATGATTCTAGTCTAAAGTAATTTACATAACCCTAAAGGCCTTTTCAGGTTAACTTTGAGATCATTCCAGGTCTGTGAGCAGCACGGGGTTGGGAAGGCTCGACGGTTAAACGCACGCAAGAAAGAAAGCAATATCCTTTCCCAGGCTTGGAATTGCAGCCCAGAACCTCCCTCCTGAATCTGCAAACACGTATCCAGTCCAAGCCACCCAGCACTCTGCAGTGGCAGCCAGCCCACCTCCAACTGGTCTTGTGAAATCATGTATGAATTAGGCAGGAAAAGATGCAGGCAGTAATGGATGAGGTGAAAATGGTAACAGGACACAGGGCTATACATCCATGGCTCCAGAAAGAGAGCATATTCCTTCATATCTCACCCTGAAGGTGCCACTTTTTAGAGAAAGCCTTAAAAACAGAACTCAGATAAATTCACAGCTGCTACTGAAGCCAAAGAATCTTTTTCAACCAGATCTGGGCAAATGATCATAAAAAATGCCACCTCTTTATTCAGGTTCTCCTGTCATCTCCATTGTGAAAAGGCTTTCCCAAAGCTGCTCGACCATCCATTTTTTATTTCTCTAACAATTCAAAAAAATTAGAACATAATAATGTTGAGGAGCCACAGAGTGATTCAAATCTTTTTTTCTACAAAGAAGCAATAACAAATACCAAAATCTTGTTTTGAAATGGTCAAATCCAGTTGTTGCAACTTTCCTGTGTAACTGCTTTGTTCTGTTTTTGCTCCCATTAAGCATTTCATTTCTCAGAAATAATAGGAGTTTGTAGAATATTTCTGGGACACCAAGTATTGTCTCTCAAAAGAAATTTCCACCAAAAGAATCAACATTTCCATCACTTCCTCAAAGGTGCACGTGGTTCAGCGATAAGAGGACTGATTCCTGTGTGAATACCCTAATCAGTGTGTTCCTTGCTAAAACTAATAATATCTCACACCTCTGAAAGAAAGCTCTTCAAATAAAGCCTTCCTGCATTCACACAGCCCAACCTGCAGCAGGGCTAGGCAGGACCTTTGGATAATTGGATGGCTGTTTGCACATCCCCCGTGGGTCCTCATTCCCTCCACAGAGAGCTGTTGCAGTGAACCTAATTCACTCTCAGACACATCATCTGAAATCTGCCACTGACGGTTTCTCCTCTCCTGACCTACATAGCAAGGCTGGGAATCAAAGTGAGCCAGCAAATGAGAGCCACCAGGAACTCCACACCCCTCCCTGACGTGCTGAAACACAAACACTGCCCCTCAACCTGCCACGTGCCATCCCTCGACACCAAAAACATCCAGGGATGCAGCGAGAAACAAACAAAAACTCCTCAAAGATGTGTTTCTGTTGAGTTACATAATCCCAGGCATAATGGCAGGAGAGCCAGGATTTCATAGGATACATAGCTTAGCTGCGTGTAACCTCAGAGGACAATGACAAACAGAATAAGGGGTGAACTTGAGCAGGATTTCACAATGGAATAAATTCCATCTGTCCCCTGAACAATTTTTCCTGATCAGCAGCTTGTGGTGGGGAGACACTTTACCTACCTCATTAGTTGTGAGAGTGAGGATCCGATCCAAGTCCTCCACCAACTGTTTGAAAGTGGGTCTGTGAGAAGGCACAGCATGCCAGCAATCTCTCATCATCATATAGCTGGAAGAAACACACATTTGCCTGGCTTAATTAAAATCACACATCCTCCTCACAAACCTTTCCATGCACAGTCAGGGCTGCCCTTCACAAGGAAAGCAGTGAGCACACACAGCTCTGCTCAATGGAACACTGAAAATCCCCAAACCTGGACAACACCCCCTGTCTCAGAGGGGCTTCCTACTCCTGTCTCTCCCTTGCTCAGTGTCTAAATTACCTTTTTGTGGGCCCAATTCTGTGGCCCAGCAACTTCAAAAGTATTAAATTACAATATTTTTCACATGTCAGGGATTGCAGTTTTTGTGAAGAAATTAAAATGCAAAAAAAGTTAAATATAGTTAAGGTCTGCATTGGAATACCTGAAATCACACTCCCCACACCATCAGGAGATAATGCTGTGTTAACACAGGAATTCCCAGATGTATTTTGTTCTGTATAAAAGCAGCCTAATGTACCACACCTTTGATTAGTGATATGTGCAACATTTATGAATTTCCATGTTGGTAACATTAAAATCAAACAAATATGGGCGTAAAAACACTGACAGAGACTGGCTTGCAGATGATTTCTTCTTTCTGCAATAGGATCACAGCGGGGTGTGCAAAGAAGCATCCTCTGCCAAACATTCCCTGAAACCCTTCCCATACCTTTCCCTTCCCCATCTATACCCTCACAAACATCCTGAATTTTAGACTCAAGCAGTTCTGAAAGTGATTTTTCTGGGGGTGGCACTGAACACATGAACTGAGCACAGCTGTGCCCCTCAGCCCTGGCACAGCAAAATCAGAGTCCTTACAGCTCGTTGGTGCAGTTGGCAGGTTTGTCCATCCGGTGCCCTTCTTTAAGCAGCTTAAAAAGTTCCTCCACTGGGATTCCTGGGTAGGGTGACCCTCCTAAGGTGAAGATCTCCCACATTAACACACCAAATGACCAACTGCAAATCAAAGAGAAAACTGCATTAGTAGACATGCCTGGAAACAGAGAATCCCATCCCTCCTAGAGGTGTTTAAACCAGGTCTGCCTGCCCAGAGCAGGACAGGGGTCTGGGAAGTGCATCAGAGGGAAGGACAGCATTTAAGATGGGGACTGACCCCAGCATGTTCCCAAATCCCCTCTTTTCCTCTGTCTGGTGTGCTCTGAGCACTGCCCAGCACTGCATCTTCACAGCTTAATGACTTACAGAGCCCTCCCAGCCCAGCTGGGGTGCAATTATGTGGCAGGATATTTTGGAAAAAGCAGACTGTTCAAAACAAAAATATTTTGCGTCACCCTGCCTTTCTTTTATTTTTTTTTCTCTCTTTTGTTGCTAACTTCTGCTAGGAAATGAAGTGGGATAATTTTTAAGCCAGTTTTCCTGCCTCATCCTGCCTGGCTGGCAAGCTGGGGCTGTGTGGCAGGCGGCTCTGCCAGGTGAGCACCAGCACAGAGCCTGCCCAGCTCCTCTGCAGCTCCCCCAGCTCTGTATTTTAGTAAACTGTTTGCACAAACTTACAATAATATTATCTTTAGCCATCTTCAAAGCCACCATGGGGCCAAGAGTCTCCAAGGCCCAGCACTGAAATCCTCGTGTTCCCTGGCTGCTGAGGAGCTCAGGCTGACTCTCAGTCCCCAGCCAGTGAAGTGGTTTACTCCACGTTCACTTAAATATTTTGCCAAGATGTTATTTTAAAACACAGTTTGATCCACCCTTAACCTGTGTATATAGTTTCCTTTGTAAATGATGTGGAGATTGCAGGAAACGCCTCAGCAAATGATTTTCTTAAGGAGAGAGCAGCTTGGAAACTGCTCCAGGTTAAAGAAAGAGGAGATACTTCTTATTTTCTCCATCCTGCCTTTTTCCTTTTTAACCCTGCACTGACTTGCATAACCTTTTGCTCCTCTGCTGGGAAGCATCCAGCCCTTTACAGTTAACAGCTTTTCTTGGAGAAATAAAAAACAGAATCTTCATCTGTATTGCATAAGAAATAAATGTCTACTTCAAGCACATAGAACTGTAATAGGAAGCAGAATAAACCCTGAGCAGTTGCATCAGCCAGTGGCTCTGTGCACACATTAAAAGAGTTTTGAAGTGTCAGAGTCCAATGATTTCCTATTACATGTGAAGTACTGCTGGGAAGCAACTCCACTTCTGAAAATCAGAGAAAACTTTTCCAGCGTACCCAGCCTACGTTTTATTGCACTGAATTTCAGCACAGATTTTTATAAGAAGTTTTCAGGAACTTTTTTTTTGTCGTTCTTTTCTCTCTCTCCTTTTATTTTTTTTAAACCTGAAGGAAATCCAGAGCATGTCAAAAGGCAAGCAAATTAGATAGACTCTTTGTAGCTGCACATCCGTAAATAAGTTCAAGGGGGGAAACTTCCGCAGTGACAGAAGGAGGTTAGCATTTTCCACCTTTCATGTGCTTTGAAGCTGGGCAGATTAGTAACAGAGCACTGGTTAGCAGTCTACCATAAAATCCTCACTTTCTAAGGGCAAGTCCTGTTCCATCTATTAATATGTGAAACAGAATGAAAAGTCTTAAAGGTAAAGGACAACAGCAAAATATACATGAAATATCCCAAATTTTAACAAACTCAAAGCAAAACAAGCCTCCCTTGCCATGCCCAAAACCCCAATGAAATCAGGCCACTTACACATCACTTTGATGTGTGTAAACTCTGTCAAACAGAGCTTCTGGAGCCATCCACTTTACTGGAAGCCGTCCCTGTAAGTTTGGAGAGGAAGAGGAATTAAAATGGCAGCAATTGGCAGGATGATTTCTCTAAGAGCTGTCTGCTAAAGCAACCAGCACATAATTTACCTTGAACATTTTCAGTGAGAGAACACTAAGATGGGCTAAAGTACAGAGACTGTAATAAAAATGGATACAAGCACTGAAGATAAAATTAAAAGCAATGAGAGTTCCTGAAGATTTTCCAGACTGCTTGCTATGAGAATGGTAGGATAAGTAGATCAAAATCAACAGCATCATTCTGCTATGGCTCTTTAAAGACAAAACCCCCCACAATTAATAAACTTCTGAAAAACAAGCCTGCCTGCAAATTAAATTGATTACTAAACCAAAGAATTTTGTTTTCCTGACCCAAAGCTCACAGTCAGAGCTGCCTGTTGCTTTGCACACACAGAGCTGGGAACTGCACTGGGTCTGAAATGGAGAAGCTTCAATCCCCTCCAATGCTGCTGTATATGGTGGTTCTGGCTTTTGGAAGTAGGCAGATGTTACCATTAAAATGCCACTAATCACTTAGTGATTTTCATAAATAAGCCACTTAACATGATTGTTAATACGAAGCCATATTTATACAAATAAAATCTGTAGAACTCAAAGAGTTCTGCAGAGTTCCCATCACATCCCAAATGCAGCTCAGCAGGACCTTCAGAGATCCCCTGAGGGGGTGTCAGGAGCTCAAACCAGGTATCACTAAACCAGGTATCACTGCTACATCCCAAATGTTTTATCTTCCTGATTTGGTACAGGCTAAGCAGCAAAACAGTGACAGTGTGGGGAGTAAAATCAATTTTCTCTATCTCTAGCCCCACTTTGAGATCACCATCACAACCTGTCCCTAACAAGCTTAGTACAGGCACAGGCTGAAGGCTGAATGTGACATCACCACAAGTAAACAGGATTTTTATTGTGGTTGTTACTTGCATTGTTTGTATTGCAAGATCCTAGGCTGGGTGCTAAACCAGCTGGGATCAGCAGGAATATTTCCAATTATTACGACTGACTGGAGTCAGGGACACAATAAAAAAAAAAGTTATTGTATTTCAGCATTTCTAATCCTCCAATATGCAGCCTCTTTGCTTATCTTTTTAACCAACTGTCCCTGTAAGAGGAGACAGAAATGCTCATGTCCTTGATCCCTGCTTTTTTTGTCTGAGATGAAAAGTGAGTCTGCTGTACAAGGAGCCCATTAACTTTACAACCACAGTTCTGAAATGAATCACTGAAAGAAACACTTGTTTCCAGAGATTAGAAAACCATCCACTTACATTAGTAGTCTTTTTATAATAATCTATATTGTTGATGTCTCTGGCTAAACCAAAGTCTGCAATTTTCATGACATTGTTTTCCGTTACCAAAACATTTCTTGCAGCCAAGTCTCGATGGATGCACTGCAAACAAAAAAGGAGAAAAAAATAGCCCACTGAAATAAACTGCAGCAAAAGTGGAAGACCTTCAACACCACAACTAAATCTCCTTTATAGATTTTAACCTAAATGACCAGGTGGGAAAGCCACACATTCACTACAAGCCTGTGAAATATGATTTTTCTTAATTACTGCAATCCATACCCTCAGCTGCTGTTTCCATGGCCTCAGAAGTGTCTTAGAAAGTCCTGATCCTGCTTAAATCTTATATTTTTGCTGAGGTTAAAAGCTGTGTGGTGACCCAGGTTTTGCCAAGCATTTGGTGATGTACTCTCCTTTACATATGCCCAGGTACAAATATAGCAGTTTTATCTGAAATAATGTTAATGAACATTTTTATTGTGTGGCTTCTCTTAAATTATATTGTCTCACCAGAGATAAAAGCTGGCATCCAGTCTGAATCAGTGCAACTGTTATTAATTTTAAAGATATTAATATAATTGTGAGCAGGATGTCTAGGGTGTGTTTAATTATTTCAACCTCAAGATTATAAAAATGCAATTATGAAAAGGAAAATTAAAAAAAACCCAAAACAATCAGGGTTTGACTGTTTGTTTTTAAGATAGTTTTGGTTCTGAAACTAAACCTATTACCTCCTGGGAGATGTTCCCTTCAGCATTATCCTGGCACTGACGGGACTCTGTGACTGCTCTGGGTATTATTCCTGTGTTCAAGTAGCTTTATTAGGGTTGATACAAGGTGGCAGTGAGGGCATGGTAAGAAACACTGCACTTTGAATCCCAGCAGGATATTTTATTTATTTTCCACTTTAGTATATTTTTTCCCTCCTCAGTTTTGGATAACTTTTGACATTGCATGTTTAATTTCAGTATGTGCATAGACACACTACAAAAAGCAACATAACAACCAGTTTGTTTCTTGCTCTTTAACTTGCCCCAGCAAACTGCTGAGATCTCTCATCCCACATGGGTAAAATGAAGTTTCTGCTCCTCACTGGGTTAGCCATGGGGAAGTGCCAGGAAAAACCTGCTCCAGCAATGCCTTCAGGAGCACAGGACCAGCCAAGAGTGCACGATTTCAGCATCCCACCAGTCCTCTAACTCTGCATCAGCCATGCTGTGGTGGCAGAAACAACATGGGCCAAGCTTCCCACTTTTAAAATCATCCATCCAACCTTGGAAATGGATACTGGTTCTAAGTACAACTGCCTGCAAGGCAAAAACTTCTTGTGAGGCAAAGGGTAGGTGAACAAACATCACCTTCACCATTTTCTTTACTGAAGTCTCAGTGAGCCCCTTTATTGGGCTGAAATACCAAGAACCCTGCCCTTCTCACAGCTCATGCATGATGGCAATACCATGAGAAGAGCAGCTCTCTTATGATTCCAGCTCAGAAAATGGATCCCTAAGGGGAGAGGAAGGGTGAAATACAAACAGAAGTGGTGGGATATCTGGAGCACAGGAATGCACAGCGCTGCTCTGTGCTGCCCCTGCTCTCCCTGTGCCTTGGGCAATGCCTCTCCATCTGCCCAGCTCAGCACAGCACCAGCAAGAGCTTTTGCAAACAGAAAAGGCTGCACTGGCTCCCGGGAGTGTCCTACAGCAGCACTTGAGAGCTCCTCAGGAGGACACTTGCTCTCAGGATGGCTGATGAAAAGATTTATGTTTTCCTTTCACATCAGCTCTGTTTTCTTGGGAGCTGGCTCACTGCCAGGCAGGAGCTGCAATAATTTCAGAGAGAGATATCCTGAGGTGTGTCACCTAATCGATAGCCCTGCTTTACTGCATTAGAAGAGCTGTGCCTTGCTGTCACGCACGTCACCCTGCTGAGCTAAGATTTACTGTTTCAAAACAAAAAGAATAAAAGCAAAATTAAACCTGGATCCCCTCTCTTCTCCAACCTCTACAAGTGCAGAAAAAACAATAACAAAATCATGACTCCACACAACAGGAATGGAGGGTTACACTCAGCCCTGGTCTTTGGTTAAAAACAGCTCCATACTTGGGAGTGGACATGGCTGGAAATCTGGATAAATCCCACTAACCACCCCACACCCTGCAGGAAGTACTTATCATTGCTATCTGCTGCTCTGGTTTAGCCTTTGGGTCCAAACATCACCCAGGGTATCAAGGATGGCTCGTCCACTAAGCCACAGCATGTTTACAGAGTTAATTATACAGGGCAATTTAAGGTTTTATAACTATGATTTAATCAAAATGCTGGTTGAAAAGAAACGTTTGAAGACAGGTTTTAGAAATAAGTGTCTGGGGACACGACAAGATAAATAAATTCTTTCAACCAGCTCACTTTCCTGAAACACCAGTTTACAGTAAAGTGTATCATTCAAGTGACTAATACCCTCCACTTACTTTTGCCTCTTCTGCCCACTCTTTTTGCCCTGCTGTCTTGGGTCTTTTCAACCCTGCCTGTTGTTATTCTGTACAGCCACTGAAAGCATTTGTTTTACACCACGATGTGAAAGGATTTGGTTGGTTTGACTGGAAACAGGAGGCAAACAGAGGCTGCTGCTCATGGGGGGAGTGATGTGAGTTGTGTAACCAAGTGACCACCTGTGCTCCTGCATTCAAACTGCAGATATGTGCACAGCATTTACTTTAAATGATCCACTCCAGGCCTCATTGCAGCAATACTGCTAAACAAAGATGAAAAACCTTTCAAGTGCATGAATTTTCCCACTGATCTGCAGGGCTGTGGGTTACACAACCTCCTTGAGGCAGCTCCTCCTCCCCAGCAAACTCCCGAACGCGAACGAGACGAGCACAAAAATCAAACTGAGATAAAAAGCTCTGTGTTTGCTGATTTCCACCTACTTTTTGGGAAGCCAGGTACTCCATGCCTCGTGCCAGCTGGTAGGTGCAGGACACCAGGTCCTTGAATGTCATCTGCTCCTCGGGCACCCTGTTGATGTCGAAGGAGTACTCCATGCCGGGCGGGCGGCGCGCTCGCAGGTACTCCCGCAGGTTCCCCTTGGAGGCATATTCCACTATCACATACAAAGGACCTGGGCATGAAAAGAACCGTGGCAAAAGCAGGGTCAGGCACCAGGGTAAAGTGTTTTTTATGTAAAAAAAGCTTTTAGTGCACTATAAATACTTAAATGAATCAATGAAATGGGAAAATGGCAAGCACCGCCTTAAAAAATAGGAATAAAAGGTTTGGATACGGGGAAGTGATTGCCCAAAGCTCCACAGCAGGAGTGGCAGAGCCACAATTAATGCCTTAAAGTCCCTAAACCCTGCCCCAGTGCCTGTTCCTTTCAGAGTTCGCCATGTACTGAAAAACAAATATTTTCAATCACAAAATAACCTGAGATCTCTAACAAAGTGAAAGCGCGTCTTAATTTTTTTTTAAGTCCCAGAGCATTATGCCATTCTGCATCACTTTATGTAATCAGCTTTTCCAGGAGTGAAAGTACTCATTTCAAATTTGTGGGGTGCAAGTTCTCCTAAAGCAGGGCTGACAATTCAGAACAGCAGACTTGGGTAAAGGCCCTGCAAAAGGTCATTTGTTCCTTACAGCAAGGGATTAGAGAGTTTTCATATGATACAGGACCCTTTCTCATATTAAGGCTGCACCTATAATGAGAAACAGAAGTTAAAATATTGCTGTTAAGCTAAAGAAATACCTAAAAATCCTATCACGGCATGACTGCTTCCTTAAAACCTCTTGAAAAATTATGATTAATGAGACTTTCACAGACCTGTTGAAAGTCTTGGTTTACTTTTTCTTTTCTCTACTCACCATCCTGGGTACAGGCTCCAAGAAGATTGATGATATTTTTATGCTTCCCAATCATTTTCATCATCTCCATCTCTGACACCAGGTCAGACAGGTCTTTTTCTGTGGCATCATCTGCAGAAGATACAGGTTCAGTTCATAAATTTTAGTGTGCCAGCCTCAGCTTCAGTAAGGCTCATCAGCTGGTGTAAAATATGTGTGGCTCAAAACACAAAATATGGGATTTGTTTTCCAGTTTACACTGCACATCATATATTATGGCCAAAAAATAATCTCAGCCTCTTTGGTGGACTCTTCAGTGTTATTATGTAAAGTGGCAGCACAGCAAGATCAGAGATAAAAAAGCACAGCAAGACCAGACATAAAAAAGCTGTCCTTAGCTATCAAACCTCCAATAACACTGCCTTTCCTGAAAACTACCCTTACAATTAAATTCAAAATAAATTGTTACCAACCACCGGGACTAAATGGGCTCAGATCTACACAAGGACAGCCTCTGACATGAAATAAACTGAAAGCAGAGAGACCCACACGATGCTAATACATCTCCTGGCTCCCAAATAGTCAGTGCCCAAGATAAACAGGCTGTCAAGGGTGCAGATTTACACCCCAGACTGCTGAAGGCTGAGGTCAGCTATGTGCTCTTTGACCCACCCCGCAACGATGACAGAGTTCAGATGCCACAAAAGAAAATTCTCTGGCTGAGAGCCGCCACACTGCCTGTTCTGATCCCTTATCACCCAATTTTCTTACCTTTCAACATCTTCACTGCCACGGTCACTGCTTCTTTTGGCCTGTCTTTGTCAATCCCCACCGCCTCAGCCATGACCACTTGGCCAAAGCAACCTTCTCCCAAGGGCTTGCCCAGCGTCAGCCTGGAGGTGCAAACAGCAGATTAACACACAGCATCTGCTGCAGGGGTGCAGCCAGTGAAATTCCAGGGCTAAATATAAAAACCTTTCAACTAAAAACCTTTCAGCAACTTGCTGCAGCGCGAGGGAGGGGTTTATCATATGGAAGCAATAAGGGCTGGGTGCGCGTCAGTTTCCGCGCGCGCTGGGGGGTGTTTGCTTAGGGGTGGTGGAGTGAGCAGCTCAGAAAGGCACAGCAGTCACTAAACCCAGATTTTGAGAGCTTTTTGAGCTCTCCTGAAGGCTGCACTTGATGGCTTGTGTGGAGGGGCAGAGCTTTGGAAGAGCACAAGAGAGTGGCTGGAATTGGGGAGCAGCCAGCAGCAGGCCTGCATCTCCTGTCACTGTGACAGGGCTGCTCATCTCTGTGTCCACACTGACTGCAGGGAGGTGGGAGTCAGGTTTCAGCCACCAGAGGGTCCAGCACAGTGGCTCTTTCTTGGCTGCAGGCTCTTTGCAGCCATAAAAGTCTTGGCTGAGGGGACCAGAAGGTGCCTCCTGCCTGCAGAGCCCAGGCTCTGCTCAGAGAGGGGAGGCTGAGATTGGGAAAAACAAACTCGGTTGTGATCACAGCACTAACATCAAGCCCTCCTAAAAGGAGCAGTCACTAAGTGGGCTGTGCAGAATGCATTTTTTGGAGCATATTCCTGGTAGCAAAACCTGCTTAGATCTAACAGGCAGACATAGGGATGTCGATCTCAGCTTCATGAGGAAAAAGAGATGAAATAAAAAAGAAACTTGAAAGCCTATGGGCAAAATCTTTTTGATTCCAGCCTGAGTGCTTAAGGGCTAGAGCCAGGCTCCTTTACTTGCAGAGAATACCTTGTGACATCCAGCAGCAGGAACCAGGGAGGATGCTCAGTGAGTGTGATGCTGATAATATTATCCAACATAGAGGCCAGATTCAAGCATTTTTGTAAACAAATTCTTAAGGACTTGACTTTCCATGGTCAACAGGAGGATTTCACAGATATCACAGATGTTGGGACTCAGTCTTAAAAGCCTGGACACCTGTCTTCCACCATGAAGTACAGGGAGAGGCTGTCATGCCATCAGCAGCAAAGTTAGATGAGGGATAAGTGATTTGAAACCCTGCTTATCTGCTTGGGCAGGGGACAGAAGTGAGGTGGCTCCTGCCAAGAGCAGCCAGCTCACTTTATCACATGAGGGCTCTGGTTTGGTGAGAATTCCTCGAGCTGTTTTGGGCTGGTTTCTAAAGCAAATGCAAGTTTTAAAAAGGTGCAAAGACTGAAGGGCAGCATATGCTATGCTGAGGTCACCCTGCCTTTTCTCCAGAGCTAAAAACTAAATTTAGGGTCTTGGCAGAGAACAAACATTTGCATTGGAAACTGGTTAATTTATGTGCTATTGCCCTGCTAGGACCAAAGTTACAAACCCCTCATTGTGTGCCTGCTGCCCCCCAGCCTAATAAACTGCCTCTAAATAGCCTCCTTTCATTGCAAATCTGCTCCCCCTACATTTGTGCTCAGCACTGGGTTTAAATGTTTAGCAACTCTAAAATTTTCCGCATTTAGTGGATCCCCCCAGGGCAGGGGCTGACAGGAGCACATATACAGACCCCCACTGTTGACCAGAGTGCTGCAGGTGGCAATTACAGCCTTTTACTCTTGTTTGCAGCTAAACCAATCAAATAATTTCCAGAAGAGTTATCAGAAAGCTCAAAATTACAGTTTGTCTATTCAAAAGTTACAACTCTGAACTTCCAGAGAGAGTGTCCATGATAAAAGGTGTTATTTTCTCAAAGTACCCTAAAGACTTCTTAAAGCTAGTACTAATTCTGATAAATAATGTTCATAAAGGTTCTACACCTTTGTTAACATTATCTCTCCTTTGCATGTTTTTTTCTATATTAAGCAATACGATTACAGTTTTAATTAGATTATCCAAAAGCTCATTTTGCATATTAGTCAACAGACTTTGAAGAAAATATTATGCAGCCATGTGAATTTGAATATATCAAAATTAAGCATGCTCTGCTTGAAACCCAGCACTTTTAAGCCACAGAAATTCCACATCCATGCACCCAATGTGCAAAATGTTCCCCTAAATTAAAAATAATCATCTCTTAATACATATCAATACAAACTCAACACCAAATCCTACCCAGAGATATGACAGAAAGAAAAGATTGTACAATATTATAATTTAGACTTTATCTCATACATATTATATTAGCTGGTTTTTTTTAATATTAGCCAATTAAATAGTTGACTGAGAAACATGGTTTAGTGTTCAGAGGTACTGCTTGGGGAAATCACCATTGCCTTTCAACAGTGCTTGCATGTGGATATTTTTCCCAGTCTAGATCACACTGAGTTTTCCTAACTCACTTCATTTCAGCAGAGCATCTGAAAGCCAGCAATAAATCTGAAAATATAACTGGGGCTGCAGGCAGAAGAAATTTCATTTCTATTTCACCCAACTGATCTCAGACAATTGAACTGAATCTTGATCTTCAGAGCAGCTTCAGGTAACTGAGATTTTTCTTTAAACCAGAGGAACCCTGGGAAGTGATGCTTCCCCCTGCCACGTGTTTGGAGCTACTCAGACACACAGGAGTGGTGTCAGGGGAAGCAATGCACGTACTTATCTCTTGGGAACTCCCACTTTGGGTCTTCTGGCAGCTCATACTCCGAGACTCCAGCCAGCATGGGGGCATCAGCAGTGGAGGAGAGGCGGGTGGTGATCCTCACCAGGGGCGTGTTGGAGTTCATGGAGGAGCTCGAGTCGGCCGACACCTGTGGTTGCAATGCAAGATGCAACAAGGAAAAAAAAAAAGATGGAGATGTAATCTTGGCCCAAAAGCTGAGAAACACCAGCACCTGACACCAAGCCAGCTCAGAACCCTGGTGTTAGGAAGTGGCTGAATCAACGGTCTTGGTTCTAGTGCTCTGTTCTCACATTTAGCCTCCTCTGTATGCACAATACTGGCTCTAATGGCTGCCAGTGCTGTCAGTCTGTCCCATAAATCAAAAACCACATAAGTTTTAAATTTATTCCCTCAGAAGGCATTTTTGCTTATCATATTAATTTTTTTAAAATAAACTGGCAGTATTTACATCACTACCGTCAAATATCCAAGTGGGCGGCTTATACCATGAGCAGAGGTGACCGGTAAGTTCTCTTTTTCCACTCCTAGTTGTCCATGTCACCACGTCTTTTCCCAAATCAGCACACCCAGGTGGGGCTCCATCTCTTCTCCCAAGGAAAAGCAACAGCACAAGAGTAAATGGCCTCCAGGGGAAGTTTGGATTGGATGTTAGGAACAGCTCCTTCAATGGATGGACTGTCAGGCTGCCCAGGGCAGTGGTGGAGTCACCAACCTCAGAGGGATTTGAAATATGAGCAGATGTGGCACGTGGGACATGGTTTAGTGGTGGTCTTGGCAGGGTTAACATTTGGACTCAACGATCTTGAAGGTCTTTTCCAGTCTATATGATTCTACTACTTTCTATTTTCCAAGTACTCAATACTGAAAGCATCAAAGAGCTATCACAACACTTCAGTTTTCAATTAACTACATTCTTAGCCAAAGACTCTACAGGAAATGTGGGGAAGAGGTCCTAAAAATAACTCAGTTTTGAACCTCTGGAGTGTGATTTCTCATCAGCTCCAATATCATCCTTAGAGTACCAAAGGTACTTATTGATAAACATTCTGAAAAAAGAGGCTGCTGCTCCATCCATGCAATTTGTTTTGTTGTGAATCTTCTGTAAGACTCTTTCTTCAAGCCTGCAAGCAGCAGCCTGACATGTGCTGCCCTCAGAGCTTCTAGTGAATACTAACACAAAATAGAAATGCTTGTATTGCAACTCTTCCCCTCCTGAGAGTGAATCCTCCTTCTCTCCCCATGCCAAAATCGCATCTTGGCCAAGCCCAAATTCGGCAGCCAGGCTGGGATGAAGATGTCACAAAGCCATCACTGGCACCCATCCTCACACCAGGCAGCAGCAGGTTCTTCTCTTGGACCCAGCTGGGAGCCTGGAACACCAGAGCACCCACACCCTCATCACTTGGATGAGGATCAGCTTTGCCACCAGGTTTGCTTATGTAAAATGTCACCAGGTCGCAGCTTTGTTCCACAAAATTAGATTTAAAAAGGCATCTTTCTAAAACCAGAGGTTAAGAGTGGAAAGAGGTTTCATAAGGGAGAAAATGTTAAGGGTTGCTATCAAAAAATTAATCTTGGTAACCAGATTTGCAGCTGACAGAGCTTTCCTGATATCAGAAACAGCTCCTGCACACAAGATGTGGCCATGGAAAGAGAGAGTGAAACTGCACAAACACAAGGCCACCATTCAAAAAAGAAAGGTGGACTGTTTCTGCCCCATTCATCCCACCATCATGAACGTTAATAATATTTACTTTCAGAAAATATAAGTACCTGGCACATTCCTCTAAGAAAATAAATCCAATAACCACTTGGGACACAAACAGAAAAGCAGTATTAAGGCAGACTATGGAGCTGTAAATAAATCAGTGAGTGAATATTGAATGGAGTCCTGGGAGAGAGAGATGCTGCCATGCCCAGCCTGCAGAGGGGAACTCACCTGCTGGACCAGCCAGTAGGACAACCAGGACTACAGTTTGAAAATGATGTTTCATTAAATAAACCAGCTCAGCACCAAGAAATGTGCAAAATGTGCAAATCTCCAGTGTGGCAGCTCCTCTGCCCCCAACCCTCCTTTCCTGAATTCCACTTTTCTGCTATTTCTGGCTTCTATTTTTTCATCTCTCACCACAAACCTATCAATACTCGCTGACCACTTCCTCCATATTTCCAAAATCTACTTACTGTTCTCCAGTCATTCTACCAAGATCTTTATTCAAGTCTTGATTCTTATATTCTTTATTAATTAACATTCCTTTTTCTTCTGCACCTGTCTTTGCCATTACAGCCATTGTTTTCAAGGAACAAAAGTGAAGCTACAAAATTTAGATACCTTAGGTATCAGAAATAGTCCAGAATTCTGGTTTTGTGGTGGTTTTTTTTTTTTGGCTTTTGTTTTGGTTTTTTTTTTAATGAATACTATCATTGTACTAGACACTGTCTGGATCTCTTCCAGAGTTTCACTTTTTCACTACTTTTCACACTCACCATTCAGCAGCCTTAGCCTGGTTAAAGCCTATAAATACAAACTTGCAATAAACTGAAATACTCCGGTGATGCATTTTAAACACAGAGCTTAAACAGCAATAATGTATAGAAAAAAGCAGATTAAAGGCTCTGCCAGTTTCCCTTTTAACACTACTCCACGTGTTTACCTCACAGCAGAACTGTGTGATGGGCCAGAGATACTGGAGGTAACCAAAGTGCATTAATGATGAGAAATCCAGAGGAACTGCTCCACGCCTGGGAGAAGACAAATGAACTGCACTCCCAGGGAATATTCTCCTGATTGATTAACTGGAGCAGTACAAGGAGTTACAGCAGCTCAAGGGCTATAAAAATCTGCTCCAGAAAAGATGAAGCCAACCCAGCCTGGCCTGTGGTTGGGGGAGATTTTCTGGTTTGAAATGGCCTCTCACCTTTCCTGCAATAAGAAAGAATTAACCTTTGATCTCCTCCCTTGAGCATTTTTTTTTTCACTGCCTTAGAGCACACTATAAAAGACTGAGGAAAATCCTACCTATTCCAAGGTCAGGAGACATGGTCAGCGTTAATCTACATTTAAGTGGCAGCTTTCTATATTTTTATTTTTCTTTTTTTATTTTTCTTTTTTCCAGCCTGCCACATGCAGCTCTGCTCTCCAACCCCTCACCATGCAGGTTCACCTGTCACAGGTGAATTAAACATTGTGGGGGCCCACTCAGTGTGCTGACACCCTGTTTTAGGTGATGACACTGCTCTAGGGAGGTACTTAATTCTTTAAATAAAGAAAGAAAGGTGAAAGTCAGCTTGAGTTGGTCAGAGTACTGAAAGAACCATTATGGTAAATTTTAACTCAACAGGAATACAGAGCTCCACCAGAAAATACTTCTTGTGTGCTCCCCTTGTGCTTTTAGCAGGCCAGGAGTGAGAACAGCACCAACCTCAGACAGACTTTGAGCTCCAAATCTGCACTGGAGAAGGAGAAAAGCCCAATGCACCCAAACCTCACCAACAGTGCACGATTCTATCCCAATTTTCACTACATCTTCCTCCCCTGACCAACACAGTGTGCTTAATCAGCTCTCAGTTAACGCTCTACAAGCATTTCTAAGCAGCAGAGCATTTAGAACAAACAAATCTTTGCTGGAATCTTTAAATGCCATGTGGCAAAATCAGCTGCAGAGCAGTGTGTAATTGTCTGTAATTGATTATGAAGGGTGTTTTCCTCCACTGATAATTCATACCATGTCCTGGAGCCTAGATCTGTCAGTTCTGGCACTCATGCTGGGACATTTTAGCAGGCATGCAGTGATTTCCTATAACTGTCAGCCTTTTTGAAGGCTCTGCAGTAAAAGTTAATTTGAAATCATATGCATATTTGTGTATTATAATTAGTAAATAATGCTGTTAGCTGCTGGTAGGAGCAGCACATCTGAGTGACCAGATGCAGGAAAATACAAGGTTAAATGCACTACACAAAATTGAGTAATCCTGATGTTAAGTACTGACATTTAAAACACATGCACCACCCCTCCATGAAAAGCACTCATTTGGAAACACTTATACACAAAATAATATCCAGTAAGTACCACAAGACAGTGGTTTCCATAAAAAAATCCAAGCAAAAAGAAAAAAATAAGATAAATATTTAAGGTAAATTCCATTCAACAATATCTTACTAACAGTTATGTATTAATCTTTGTACTTCATAGTCTATTCCTCTAAAAAAATTATGATTTTATTGCTCAATATTACATGAAATACTACATTACTTTCCTTTTTCCTGGTCACTTTTCTTTTTTTTTACATTTCTGCTGCCATCATCATTTTGAATTATTGAAGTACCATTTTGAACTATTCTGCTGGGTGAGCTCAAGCCTTGCTTTAAATTGATCAGTCTTTGTTTATCACAAATACACCCATTATATCTTTATGAAGAATTAGATTCCACAACAACAATAGGCATAAATTAATGGAGTGTATTTAAAATGAAAAGCATAAAAAAAGACCATTGCTTCCTGTTTAAGACACGTGCATGTTGAGGGGGTCCAAATTTGACAGATTGGCTGTGACAGCCCTAACAAAAACCTTTAGTGATGACAAACATTTGTACTTGACTTTGAGCAAGTCACAAGAGATGGGGTTGTCTTTTTGTCTGCTTCAATTACACTTTATCTGTTAAAACAAAGGTTCTACAAAATAGATGTACATCCTATTGAAGGCGAATCTGTATTCTTTTGGTTCAGTGGCCCTGTCACTTAAAGCCTGTCCTGCAAATCAGCTTGTGAGGCTCAATCCCAAAAATCCTTCATCCCCTTCCTCTCAAGCTGGTACCTCCATGCAGGTAACACTTGAACTGCTTTGAGGAAAAGAGAAGCTGCCTGCTGGATTTACCTGGAAAAACCTGCAAATTCAGTACCAGATCCTGGTGAGGATGAGGATTGCAGGGGATGGGAGCTGATAATTCCTGACTTCATCCTGACCCTTCCTACGAATGCGAATAGAACTGAATTTTGGCAGGGAAAAAACGCCTGCATGTGGGGAATGATAAAATCCTGTGGTAGCTCAGGCTAAACAGAGCAGGAGGAGCCAAACCAAACCATATGTTACTCAGCAAGACTCTTCTCCTGCTCAGACAAGATGGCATCAGAGCTGTGCAAACGTCTCTCCATGAACCAGGATTATTTTCCAGCCCAGATCCTCAGGGACCCTGACCCAGCAGCAGAAGAGCTTTGAAAACAATATCAAGAATTTCCCAATCTGTGGCCTCATTTCTCTGGAATTCCAACAAATCCCATCAGCCAGCCCTGGATCCAGCCCCATTCTCAAGCCTACCTGCCACGAGCATCTCGTTCCCTCCCATCCTCCCACCTCATCCCTCCCACACACAGCACAAAGGGAAACCTTCTCTGATCCACAGATAAATAAAGGTTTAGTGGCAAAACCCCACCAAGTTTAAATACAGTCCTCTGAAATACAAATAAACTGGAACAAAGTGAGCTTGGTGGCACAATAAAACGGGGTTGAATGATCCAGAAACACACACCCTTTAAATAAAACATCTGGATTATTTTCCAATTCTTCGCTTGTGACAACAGCCCTGAAACCCAAAACCAGATTTAAAAGATGCAGAAAGTGAAGAGCTGCTGCAGCCTCAGCACCAAGGAGAAATGAAGGAATATTCACAAGCAAATCTTCAGGGACTGCTTGTCTCATCCTGCCTTTGCAAACTGACCAGTGAAATCATCAAACCAGAAATACAGATTGCACACAATGCTTACAGTAGTTACATTTTCCTCCATGCAGGCACAAAAGCAGAGAGACCTTCAATGAGCAACTGCTGCTAACAAAACACAATTGGGAACAGTGGGATTTTTGCTTAGGGGTTGAAACAGCATTTGCACTTTCAAATATAAATATTTTTTTTAAAAGTATTCCCAGTTTTAAAAGCAAAATGCCATTTTGGCTAAAAAAATGTAAAAACACTGAAATAAATTGATAAACCCCAATGTGACAAACATGCTGTAAGACAGCTTCTTTCCCCTGTGAAAACAATAGCTTTGGAGAAGGTCCACATTGCATCATTTAAGGATAAATAGCTAAACTGAGGGCAGTGGTTGGCACTGCTGTCACATGAAATGAAATAACACTCTGCTCCCCACGGAATCATTTCCAGCTGACACAACTGAGCTCACACCAAACCCTAGGTATTTTTTATACCATCAACTTGTCTCTGAGTCATTAGGCTCTTATATTCAGGCAGAAATCTAATAAATGTCTCCTATCTAAGCAGTTGATGTGTATCTCCCTCTCTCTCTGGCTAAGCACACAACATCTGAAAGGGCTCCTTTGTCCAGAAATCTACACAGATCTTTCTAGCCAAAGAGATGTGTGAATATTGAGCTGAGGGCTTCTCATCACTCTTTCTGACACATTCAGAGTGAAAAGTCGCTCTTTGTTGCAGTGATACTCAAGCAAATGAGTAAAATAATAAAAAATAAAGGAAAAAAAACAACCCAAAGTGGAAAAGAAAGTCAGAAAAAAAAAAGAATTAACATTTTTTACTCATAAGACAAACCAAATATCTTCCAGTCTGGAAAACATTCAGGTGCCCTACCTCAGGATTCTGTAAAATACTGAATTCAGAGGAAGGTAGCTAAAGCATTCCACTCCCTGGTATTTTTAACCAAGGAAATTCAGACACCATGAAACAAGGGTCCAGAAAAATGTATTGCTGTTCAGAAACTCCCACTCTGTGTGCCCATGCAGCTCATTTCAAACACTTACCCACACTGAAGAACCCTTTTTAAGGTACATGTATTGCTCTGACAGTGACAATATTCTGGACAGGCTGCAAAAACAAGTCTGCAGAAATCCTGCACCACTTCCTGATGGTGCAGATGGACACAAAGTGAACCCTCACACCCCAATTCCCTGGGCAGAGCCTGGATCCAACCCCTCCAGAGAGAATTTTTTTGGCTGCTGAGGTGAACCCCAGCCTCAGATTCCAACATCCCCCATCCTGCAGGGCTGAAGCCTGGGGGTGCAGAGCTCTGGCCTCAAGACCTATTGCAAGAAAATCAAAACCTATTAAACTCCAGCTCCTAAAAACTCCTAAAAACACCACAAATCCTTCAGAAAAGGACAGTGTGTGAGAATGGAGGCTGTTTTGGCAAGTGGTGGCCTGTGATAATGCCAAAGTCCTGTTACTTGCTCAAGTGGTTTGTTGCTCATGGCATCAACCTCTCCAGAATTGCTCATTGCCAGCCACAAACAATTGTAAAATGTATTTCATGCGATGCTGTTGTGTGCATTTTAAATCTGGCACTTGCTTTTGTTTCTTGCTCAAAAGCATCATTATCTTAATCAAGCTGTCCAAGATCTGATATAGTATCTCCCCTATTTTTACTTTATTACAGTCTACTTTCTATTTTGGGGTGTTTTCTAGATGCCTGGCTATGAAAGCCCCTCCTTTCAGTCTTCAAAAGTCTTCCTGAGAAATACCTTTCTGTATCTGGTACCTAGTTACCACAATAATAATCACCTTAGAAACATCATAAATATACAATTAAATAGGATTCTGTTCCAAAGACCATTAAGGCAGTAACATTTTTTCCATTGACAAGCTGTGGGATCAGGCCCCAAAATACTTGAAATACTTTTTTTTTTTTCCTCATCTCCAGACTGCTAATACAGAACATATTTCAGTTTTTACATTTCTCCTACCCTGATTTCCTTGAGACACCCATTGTTACGCTAAGACCTCTTCTCCATCCCACCCGCAATCCGCTATAATTTATTAACTCCCTTCTTCCCTTTCCTCAGCAGGAGGGATGTGCTGGCTTAGTTGTTGGGGTAAAAAATAAGTTTTTTGTAACTCTTTATCTACTTTCTGTTACCTGTCTGCGCAGGGGGATTCTCTTTGTGAGCTTGTGGACAGCGGGCTGGCTGCTGAAATCCGGCTTCTTGGTGGTGTTCTTCATGCGGCACATGATCACCGTCAGCACCATGCAGGCTATCAGGAACACCCCTATGCAGTAAATTGCTATTTCCAGGTAGTCTGGAGAGGTTGGGTATTCCTTTTCTTTCTCAGGAGCTGGATGGGAAGGTTTTGGGAGGGAACAATCAGGCCACAGGGTTAGCAAAAAGGGCAGCGTTCGGCACAGCACTTGGAGCAAGTAACGGTAAAACATAAAATATAACCAATTCTTGTGTGGTATTCAGAGCATTGGATGTTTAGGCCATCTTGTAATCTGAGAGTAATTCTCTTTTCCAGATTACAGCTTTGATTTTTATCTGAGAGTAATTCTTTTTTCCAGATTAGTGCTTCGATTTTTCAGTTTGCACTGAGTGTGAGCTTGTGCATCTATGTATTCATAGACAAACATACACACGTGTCTGCCTAGGTAGGTACGTAGGTATACATTGAAATATTGCCTTAATCATATCCTTATCATATGAGTAAATATCCTTAATCATATGAATAATGATTAAGGATAATTTTAGAGAGAAGCAAAAATTGTTCAAATTAGGCTCAGGTTCATTTTGTTACTCGAGTCAAAATGTATAAGTACAGCAATTTGTGTGAACCACACAAAAGCACATCCAAAGCTAAAACTGTGAATTAGCTAGCCTGAATGAAAAGTGTCTAAATTTGAAAATAAATGTTTGGGCTTGAGCCTGCTTGAGTCTGCCTCTTTATTCAAAATTTGCAGTAGAATCTCAAAATACAGAGGGAAGGGAGGAAGAATCAGTCCCCCATCATGTCTATAAACTCAGCTTAGGGGTTTCAAAAGGGTTTCAAGGAGCTGGCTGTCCAGCTGCTCAACCAGCTGTGCTTCATGCTGGGTGCCCAACTCCCCTGAGGTCCTTTGAGGAGCCCAGTGCTGGATTAAAAAGCATAATTGAAGTGAAAAACGAATTGGCAGCGACACGTTAATTAACGAGCCCTCTTCTGCGAGGACTGCGGTCTTTCAAGTAACCTCATCAGTGGTTACTGGCCTATGAGATTAGATTTGGGAGGGAGTGGTTCTCCAGAGCTGTTACTCTGATTGAAACCATTTTGAAGCTATCTTCAAGACAGTTATATGTGCAAACAGTGTCCCTAATCCCTTATCTGGGATTCAACCCCCGGATAAACAGCATTCCACAGCCATCAGCGGTCACTCCGCAAGCAATGCACGTTTCATGCTGAAATTTTCTTGTGCCTTTCCAGGCTTAGAAAAATACTTTGCTCAAGAAAATTGGTTTAAAAAAAAAAATGCTGTTCAAGCACTTGCAAAATGCAAACACTGCCAGCAGAAGCAAGCTCTACACAAGCACTGCTCTGCCTGCTTGGTGACACCTCACAGGCTCAGGGTTCAGTTCAGAGTGAGATGGAATAAAGCTGTCTTGTTCAATATATTTCAATAAAAGGTAAGAAATTATCTGCAGACAGTGGGAATGTTTAACTCCCACACTGTGAGGCTCAGCAACACACACATGCAGGTTTTGTACCTCTTCCTTAGGATTAACAATTAAAAAATGTTAAGCACAAGATGACCCAGCAAACCTCAGGTGGTTCATGTTTTTTTCCAAAGGAACTCCTGAGGCAGCTGCCAACGGTTATAAATGAGAAAATTTGACTAATGTCAAAACCAACTATGGTTACATCTTCTAACAGCTGATAATAATTTTCAGGCAATAAAGCACATTGATGCTTGTTTCTTCTAAGGACAGAAACATCATCAACCCCAGAACAGCAAGACATGCTTTGCAGTAAAAGCAAATGACTACTTGTTCCCTTAGAGCATGCAATGTTTAAAGATGCACAGAGCCGATTCCCAAGATATGGAAGGCACTGCTTCTGTACATGATCCTCTGGCATTGAAATTGGAATTTCCATGAGAGATTTGCATGACAGGTAAAAGTGAATTGAAGTACACTGAACAGCTCAGGCATTTTAATGAGCCAGTACATAACCATGGCCAAATTAGTTCCAAACTTTGTAACAAACTGAATTTCATCTTCTTGACAAAGTTTACAATGATTTACAGGCTGATTATCAGTTGTCTCGTTGAAGTGCTAAGGAAATTCAGCTCCTTAGCATTTCTGATGATGTAAAAACATTTCAATTAAGTGCAATAGCCACACACCCCACATCATTTTTTGTTGTTGTTGCTGTTTGATTTTTGGAGTTGCAAACTTGTGACAGAACAACTCACTGGCTTGAGACAACTGTGCTTAAAAAAACCAAAATCATTGTAAACATCCTTTTTTTTTTTTGAGACAGAAGCTGTGCTAATTCTGCAGCAATCAACAAAGGGGAGGGGGGGAAAAAAAAGAGGAAAAACCACAGAAAGAGAGCAGTGTATACCTGGCAGAACTGTCAACCATGCAGTGTGAAAGGATATCCCAATAGAATTACCCGCCAAGCATGTATACTCCCCAGCATCCTCAAAAGTTACATTCCGTATATAGAGAACCTCAATCTCTTTGTCCGTGGTGTTAACACCGGCAGCCTAAAAAAAAACAAGAGGGAAGCAAGAGAAAAAGCTAGACACTGAGAGAATTTTTGTGGATAGGGAGGTGGAGCCACGGGGCTTTGCACTTGGTAAAGGCAGAGGTGGAGAGATGCAAAGCTCCTTCCCCATCCACAATCCCTCATCCAAAAGGCGTTTACCAACAGGTCCCAGCTCACCTCAGAAAGTAATCAACACCCTTCACCAGACCTAAACTCACCACCTAAACATGCATGCAATCAAAAGACATGGAAAAATTCACCCACAAATCTTTTTTTTTTCTCCTTCTTCTTTTATGACAAGAGAAAGTTGAAAGAAAAACAAAGAGAAAACAAAGTAGGACAGAATGTGGGATCCTTCACATGTAGAGACCTGTTTCAGAGGAAAGAATTTACTATAAAAGCATACTCTAAAATGATTAAAAAGGGATGAGTTCTGCTCCAAAAGACAACTTAGTAGCTGTCTTAGATTGTAAGTTCCTTGCATCACCCACTGCACTGCAGTTTTGAGTAGTTACTACTACTGTAAATTGTGAAGAGTTGCCAAATCTCATTTAAATCTCAAATCTGGAAATATTTGATGGTTTGCCTAGAAGGACAGTGGAAAGTATCCCAATCCTTGCTCAAAAATCAGAGATCTTGTTCAGTTGTGGCTCTTAAGGGTAGGGCAAAAAAATACTTCAAAGGTTTGAGAACCAGGAGATGAAAATAAAACATTTTTCTACATCTTTAAGATTGAGAGGAGAGCAAAAACTCTGCACATTTTGTGGTTTTTACTGATCATCTTCCAGACTTGTTGCTTGACATTGTGCATCAATCCAAGTAGCAGTGATTATCCAAGTTCATACAAATGGAGTAAATCTTAGGTCTGGAACTTCCCAGCTGCCCCAACATGGGCACGTCAGGGCATCAGCATCAAGATCTCAGTGATGGAGGATTAGAGAAATTAATGTTTGCTACTTTTGATCTCTGTTCCATTCAAAAAATGTTAACTTTGAAATACAATCAAGGAATAAATGCCTTTTTATTGGACAATTTGGAGGTAAAATTAGTTGTGGGCTGCAGTCACAGGTTTGCCTGTCTTTATTGTTACTGCTGAGTAAACCCCAGTTAGTAATGGGTGAGTAAGACCTGGAAAAACCCTCCCACCTGCACAGTCACAGTGACTAAACTGACCTGACTTGTGCTCCAGGGGGTTTTTATGTGAACAGGTCACACATATACACACCTATGTGTATATATAAATACACACTGCTAGGCTGTAATTACATTATTCAAGGAGTACCCTCTGTGTCAACTGCAGAGTATGCAGAATTAGCAACAAAACTGTCCAACACACACACAGACACAAAGACACCAAAGAGAGAATAAAGCTCAGCAAATAGAAACCAAAGCAGTGCTTCTGGTACGGAGAATATTGTGGGAATTTTTCCATGGCTGCTGGTGCAACACCAGCTGCATCACCAAAGGAGGATTCCACATATACCACCAAGGCCAGAGAGTATCCTACAAGCTGCCTGCAGTCTCCCAAAGCACCATTTTTTCCAGCTTGCTTTAAAAAACGTTGTTACCTTGTACACTTGGCAGAACAGAGAGCCAGGCAGACTGGTTGGCCTCCCCTATATAATTGGAGACCTTACAAATATATTCTCCAGCGTCCGCCTCTGTCACATTGTACAGTGTCAGCACTTCAGCATTGGAACTATTTATCCCCGAGTGCTAGAACAGACCAATAACACAGGAGAACAAGGTCACTGCTGCCCAGAATGGACACCAATCTGTCTATGGTCCCACCACCAACACGTCACCAGAATATTCCACATCAGCCTCTAAACATTGAAGGGTTTGGGGGTTTTGTTATTGTTGGGGGGTTTTTTTCCTTTTGGTTGTTGTTGTTTGGTTTTCGTACATCCGCAGCTTCACACGAAGAGTTAGAGAACAGCAGCATGGGGGGAAAAGGAATCCACCTGGGCAGGTACTGCATGGGACAAGCAGGTACAGAGCCTGTCAGAATTTTGGAAACGCCACCCAGCTTGGAAAGCTTCATTTTCCCTGGTCAGGCTTGCTCCAAACTGGCAGGAATGACAGTACCAATACACTGCTCCAAACCAGACATCTCTGTAGGCTCAGCATCCACACAGCCCAGTCCTCCACCAAGCTTTTGGCTGCAGCTGCCATGTTTCTTTGAAATCAAGAGGCTGAAGAAACATGAAAGAAATGGAGTAGATTGTCCCAGGTATGTTTTGGATGCTTTCTACCCATACAAAAATGTCAATGATGTTCTTTAGAAGGATTTTCATTTTTTTTTCTGAGCAATTCATGCCTGAAACATTCAGATACAAAGGACTTTTCATGGAAGTAAAAAGGAGCAAAACAGTGTCTATAAGCTGCACAGTTAGCATTAAGACAAGCAAATGTTTATCTAACTCATCACTTCACTTCTAACATAAACATCTCCACTTTCAAAAGAAGCTCAGAACTTGAAATCCTTGGATTTACACCACGCTCTAAGGAAGGCACCACCGCTGCCGGCATCTGCGAAGCCTCACCTTTAAAACCTGGAGATAAGGGAGCCCATCTGGCCCGTATTTACTGCCGTTCTTCTCCACGTGCTTTATCCACTGGATGTGGGGCTGGGCATCGCTGTAGACCTTGCAGACAAACTCCACATCCCCGCCAACCACGGCGGAGGCGTTGGCGGGGAGCCCCGCCTGCAGGATGGGCCGGTGCGGGGAGCGCTCTGCTCCAGCAGCGAACGGAGGAGAAACAGAGAGGGAGAGGGAGAGAAATAAAGATGCATAAATAAGCAAGGCTGCCAAGAAAACTGTACGTGAACCCCAGCCAAAAAGCCCTGTAAGCCTGTTGGCTGACTCCTCCGAAATAACACCGCAGCCAAAGCGTGTAACAAAACCTGCAGTTCAAAGGAGATGGCTTGAGCGCTACACTTGTAATTTAAAGAATAGCCATTTGTGGGGAGGGGGGGAAAATGACCCTGCTTAAACACTTTGCTCGTTTTCCACGGTTAAACTCAGCCCTAATTAGGTAAAATATCTCCTTTTGGGTTTTTTTAAGCTACCATAATTAAGTTACCTCTGAGTTCTAAAGTGTCTTGACTCGGCTTAACCTTCACACATTAAGAAGAAATATTGTTGATTAATTTTGATAAATTAATTGATTATTGATTAAAAAGAAATATTATTGATTAATCTTGGATAATTCTTGGTTTAAAACGTGTTAAAATAAACCAAAAGGAATTTCTCAAAAGTAGCAGCAGAAACCTCAGCATGCAGGATGCACAAATGAGGCAGCTAAACTTCCTACAATGCCCTAATCAGTGCCACCACCACCACTGCTCTCTGCTTCACCCAGACACAGCAGCAGAAACACTGCTTCATTCTTGTTCTCATGAAAACACAGGCAAATACAGAGTTCTCTGGAAAACTGAAGTGTATTTAATGTGAGCCAATTCAGCTTCTAATCTATGCCCATGCATAAGCATTTCTCACACATTTTCAGTCAACCTCTCTTGGGGAGCAGCTGAGGGAATTGGGGTTGTTTGGCTTGGAGAAAAGGAGGTTCAGGAGGGACCTTCTCACTCTCTGCAAGTCCCTGACAGGAGGTTTTAGCCAGGTGAGAGTCAGGCTCTTCTCACAAGTGACAGGTGACAAGTGACAGGACGAGAGGAAATGGCCTCAGGTAGTGCCAGGGGAAGTTTGGATTGGATACCAGGGAGAATTCCCTCACCAAAAGGGTTGCCCAGCTTTGGAACTGCCCAAGGAGGGCATCTAAAAGTCATGTATGTGTGTAGATGTGACACCTGGGGACGTGGTTTAGTGGTGGCCTTGGCACTGCTGGGTTAATGGTTGGACCCAACGATTTCAGAGGTTTTTCCAACCTAAACAATTCTGTGAATCCGAAGTGAAATGCTCACTGGCCATCCCCAGCCTCAGCTCCCCGTTCTCCCCTGCTCCAGGAATTCTTTCAAAGATAAGTGAAAAACAGCAGACCTAAATATTTATTTTTAGAGGCTATATACTGTAAAAGCTCTGACATTACAAGCCAAATCAGCTGAATTTCAAACCAAGCGTTCCTTCTTAAACATACTTGTCTCCAATAAATTGTTTCACAAGCAAACATTGTGAGTATAATAGCAAATAATGATGCCATTGAACAATGGGATCTTTTATACACTCCAATATATTTGGCATGCAGCAAACATCTACTGGGAATTTATTCACTGAGGCTATGCTGGCAGCACACTACAAAGCAGCAGTCTTACTTTACTTGTGGCAAAAGTGCATTTGCAATGCAGTTACTAAATTATTCCATGGCTATGTGTGTCATTTTCGAAGATCTAGGAACAGTTTCATATTTTTTAATTTGTAAATTGCTGTAGAACATATAAATTATTATTTTACGGTTCTGGAGAGAACTTTTAGTTTCTCACCTTATACTAAATAAGCTCTAATTCCATCTCCCTCATTCCTTCATTTGGGTACAAAACCAAGCAAGCAAAAATCTCTCTTTAATAGAAACCTTACACCATCTTCCAAAACTTATTACAGCTGCCTTCGGTATAAAATGAAACCTTAGAGAATGTTATTTAAAATGTTTTTTAGAAGTCAGTAGGCCTCATGTTTCATTTCTCCACATCAGGGTTTGATTTCCTTTGTGACCTTATTCTCTGCCCTTTAACAAACCAGAGAACGAGGCCTGAAACATCTTGGAAAAGTTCCTACTATGCCAGCATCCACACACGAGATGTGTTTAGTTTATCCTGATAGCCATCAATGATTTAATCTTTTATTGATGACTGTCAAGCATTTCCTCTACCAAAAAAGAAGAGGCAAAGCAAAGGAGTAAAAGCAGAGTTCTCACACTCTTGGCCCCCAACTGCATTTAAAAAAATTAAAGTGTGTGCATACAGAAGGGTATATATGTATGGCCATTTGTGAGATTTCTTCTCTAAGGGCAAATGTGTTAAAATGAACTTTTGTTGCCCTCCCTCACATGGATCAGTGCTCACCAACTCCTCTACTTCAGCAGAGGGGAGCAGTCCTGTGCCCAACAGGCAAACAGCACAGGAGAACAAATCCATCACCATGCAAATCCTGCAGGGCTTCATGGCAAACCTGGGTCCAAAGAGCCCACAAAATACACTCAGGATTGGGGAAAATAACTACAAAGAAACTTCCACTAATTACCAATGACCAAGCTTAATTTTGTTCAGCACCGTCTCCTGGAAATACTCATTTCAGGATGTTACCCAAAAACATCCTGAAGTTTTCCTACCTCTCTGCAAACCCACACACATCTCAGGACTCTGTTCAGCACAGGTACTGTCAAAGCCATATTCATAAATCTCACATCACTATTCAGCATTTAAAATACAAGCCGTACATTTGTAAGCAGATATCATCACTCAAACAGCTAGCTGCACTAATATTAGATGGAAACAGTGTGTTCCTTTTTACTGAGCACCAGCAAAGGAGTCAAAGTTGCCTTTAAAAAAATCTTTTAAGGCTGCTGAAAGTGAAATTATCATTACTGAATAATTATAATCAGGATCATCACTACAACATCGTGACCATATACATCTCTAGTTATTTAAACAATATTTTCATACAAAACAAGCTGGCAACAAATCTCATAGCTCTGGAACCTGATTTCACTATTCCTCTTGTTCATTAATATTGAACAACCACCTTGAGAAATAAATATGTGCTGCCTGAACACTGACATTTCAGTGTTACAATCTCACTGATGACACAATTTGTTATAGAATCAAGTCAAAAACATATGCTGTAATTCAGAAAATCACCCCCAACATGCTTCATGCTGGTTCCCACTATAAAAGATAGACACCAGCTTGCAGTTTAGATACAAAACCAACATCATCTCCATCTGAGGAATTAGTTATCTACAAAACACAGAGTCAAAATGATGGCTCACATGAGATATATCAGATTCAAGGCCATAAGCACCTAAATTTTACACCACCATAAAAGTGCCCAGGGCTTGAGCATTTCTGCTCACTTATCTGTAGGCAAACAGAGTCGCTATCTGAAGGGATGACTGACAAAGAGACCTTGCCCAAAAGGCTTAGAGGAAGTTGTCATTTAGCCTGTTAATGTTAAAACTTCAAAATACCTCCCTCCAAGAGATAAAACTACAAAGAATCCAGGAAAGCTGGAAAATTCCAAGTTTCAAAAAAAATAGCACAATGGAAGGAGCTCCCCAGAAAGTTCCAAGCACTGCAGGACTCCGAGAGATGGTGGAAGCCTGTCCTGCCACTGGAAATGATTGTTGGAGCTTACACAGTTCACAAGAAACCCTGAGAACTGGATCTTTAAGGAATTTAAGCCCTGAACAGAGGATGTCAGGATGTCACCTCTTCCGCATCTTGGTTTTATTTCCAGGTTTTTTTTGGTCTCCTCCTGAGGAGAGGAGAGAAAAGAGGGAGAGAAGGAGAGATGGGAAAAGAGAGGAGAGGGAGAGGGAGAGGGAGAGGGAGAAGACAAGACAGCAGAAGACAAGACAGGAGAAGACAAGACAGCAGAAGACAAGACAGCAGAAGACAAGACAGCAGAAGACGACAGGAGAAGACATGGAACCGTAGGAGGTGAAGATGCTGGGGTGTGGAGGTGGGTGACAGGGCTCAAACCCACACTCTCAGAGCCAAGGGAGGCCTGCAGACACGAGCCCATCCACCCCTGCACCCTGGGGCAGGATGGAGCAGCCATGGCAAGGGAGGCTGCTCGCCAAGCACGCGGCACAGGGGAGATGCAGGGCAGGAATTGCTGCTGCCAGAGGCCACTGGGGAGGGATTGTGGCTGAGAGAGTGGCACTGCTGCCACCAGAGAGCCTTGGCAGGCACAGCAGACAATAACCCCGGAAGGGGGGAGCTCCAGGCCTGGGCCAGGCCAAGTCTCCTTAGCAACCTGGCTGTGCCAGGGGCTGAGAAGAGCTCTGGGAATTGTCTCTCCAAGGCTCCTTGTCACCCCAGCACAGACAGTTCAGGACCTTTCAGGGGAGCTAAAAGCCAGAGCCAAGGCCCATTGAAGTCGGGGGAAAACTCACAGGGAACTCAATGGGTTTTGCATAAGGCATCCGATTCATTGGAAACAAGAAAATGAAAACTACTCTTATTTTCTGCTTTTCAATGTGCTTGTTTCCTCTCCTTGCAAATGTGTGATTCAAGTGTGGGCTAGAAAAATAAAAGCTTAATAGCAAATGCAAGAGCAAGCATGAGTTCTGGGGACAATGGAGAGATCCTCAATTAAGGGGGGAAGGGAGGGAGAAAAAGATTACCTAATTTTTAGCTAGACACATTTATCAGAGCCTCCAATCACAGTTTTGAAATGTTACTGACTTCTAAGGACTCGTCTTGATGGCTGCCACTGAGCAGCTACAGAGGGATCCCTCAAATGATGCCTCTGGATCAACAGGCCCTGGTAGAGGTTCTGTGCATTCAGTCATCACTGAATGAGAAATGAAATAGCTCCAGCTGTCACTGCAAACACAGAGCTGCCATACCCTCTTCCTGCCCTGGTCAGCACAGCACCCTCAGCTCTAGTTGCTTATTTTGCCTGACTCCAAGCTTGGGAATTATTCACAGCGGCCTGGACCCTGTTTGGAGAAAACACTATCCACTCCCAGGCACCTTCCCTCAGAAGCTGCAACATCTGCTGCTTTGGAAGATGCCAATTATGCTGTAAATTATGGGTCTGAAAAGCATCC